TTTTTTGTTTTAGTATTTTGAAGTTGACCAATTGTTACTATAAGCAATTAATGATTATAGATGATCTGCACCGTAGCAATATAGAAAGACCCCCCACCAAAAATTCGTAATATTTAAATTCGTTGTAACAAGAAATTCGCTGTGACGAGGTTCTCTGTGACGAGACTTGACTGTAGATTAAAATAAAATAAAAATAGAAATAAAATTTAAATTGTCCCGGAATTAAGAGATTCGACCAAAAGATCTGCGTCAAAATCTAATTCCGGTAACACTTGTTATAGAGTATAAGTGTCTTTTACGGCTTCGTATTTCTTTATCAATATCAGAAATTACTCTAGCAGAATCATCAACAGCTTTCTATATGTTAAATAGCTTAGTAATTAAATTTAATGTGCAGGTAAGAAAAAAATAACAATGTATATATACATACCCTAAATATTAGTAAGGTTATAATAAAATCATCTACACTTTTATCATTTTTTGGTGAATATGGTATCAACACTGTAGCAAATTTACATAGCCAATAAAATATCCCTTGTACCATATTAAAGACTGGTGCTGTAAATTATGGTGATGGTAGTAACTGTATTTATGGCATATAAAAAGTGGTTGCAATTACCTTTGCGACCACTTTTGCAACCATACTTTTTCCTTTTTTAGATTACAGCACTAGTCTTTATACCATATCAAATACAAACAAGTTCAATTTTGAGTAACCTAATTTATGTTTTTTTAATCCATCAATTAATGTTAAACATTCTTTTTGTGCAATAATAGTAACATGCACATAAAGTATAAAAAATGAATTTGGGTTAACTTACCAATTGGTTGAATTGCAAATAAGTTTATGTTGGTGAACTTTTCTTTTGTTTCAGGACTAATTTCTGAAGAGTTAGCTATTTCCCATTCAAGTCTCTTGTTAGCATCCTTTAACATCCTGATCATCTCTTCATGATCACTAGTTATTTTTTCAAAGGTTGCCATTTCTCAACAATTTTCACCTACTAGTACTTCTGGATTTTTCCCTTTTGAAGATTGAATATTCTTAATCAATAATCTGGAATACATCCATTACTGCTAGTATTGTTATTTCTGACACAGTTGGTATTTGATTCTGATGTTTCATCTCCCTAAAATTAAAAAATTATACCATAGATTTTATTAATCAATACTGTAAAGAAATATACCATATATAGCTGAAATTCATTTTGTTATATTTTGCTATAGACATCGACCCTGCCATGAGATCTTGATATGCATATTTATGTGAAACCTGATAAACTAATATATGCAATAATCTAACCTACCAAGTTGCTATATATGGAAAAACTCCTTTTGTCATGCAACCTAAGTCTGGAGAAAAGATCCCCAGATCAAAGGTTTTCCACTGTCAGTTTATTAATTACCAAAGGATTAATTGTTAATTTACAGGTTGGGTTATTTAGAGTAAATATTATGTATTTTATTAGCAAGGATATGATTATTACAATATTATTGGGGTATAGGAAGGTACCAATTATTAGATTAATAATTAGAAGATTATTATGAACATGATGATTCCAACTTGGTCTAAAACCAAGTTCTTTTATACCTTTTAGGGTATTACAAATAACATAAATTTTACTCTATTTTGTCCAATAAAATATTCTTATTAATGCTAAGTAAATATTTAATAGATAATTATGATTAATAATTTGAAATAAATATTTAAATATAATATAGAAATATAAATATAATGATTTTCAGTGTACCATTTCACAATGTGTGGCACAACCGTTACACTAAATGCAATAATAAAATTAGAAATGAGATGTAGATAATCACGTGACTACAGCTGTAAGTTGGTTTGATTTGATCAACAAAATGGGGACCTCTCTATTGGTATCTCACAATACAAACCTGAACATATAAAACCTGGTACATTTATTTTACAAATTTTGTTTTCACAAAAATTCACTCTTTGTAAAAGTTCAATGAATATGTTTTAGGCAAAGTGAGACCTCCTTCTTTCAATAATTTTGTACCAGACTCTCCTTTTCATTCATGGACTGCCTCTGAAGCAGCTCAATCCTAACATGTGAACATACCCATCACCCTTTTTGTCTATTTATATACGCTGCCCAAATCCAAATGCATAAACTAAATTTGGAACATCCATTGAAGAATTCCAAATGTAGATCAGTTTTCTTGCTCAACCAATAAGCATGGAATTTGTAAAGATGGTCAGCAATCCCTTTGTTATGCTGTAATTAAGGTTTCTGGTCCAAACTGTTTTCTCAAAGCCCAAACTAGTTTGAACAATTTGGGCTTCTCAACATTTTCTATAAGCATGAACATTAAAAAACTATGAATCAACTTGTTTTAACTTAAACAACTTTAAAATAATTTCACCCAATTTTGGCTAATAACAAAAAGTAGTTTGGGCTTATAAAAAAATAATTTTTGCCCAAAGTATTTGGGCAATTTCGGCTACTAATAGAAGCAGTTTCGACCAGAAACCTTAGCTGTAATGCTTATTGGATAGGAGAGCAAGTACAAGAATCTAATCTACATTTGGGATTGTGCATTTGGATTGCACAATTTAGTTCGGGATTTTTAATTTGGGCAGCATCTATATGCCTATTGCTTTATATTGCATTTTCTTGAAATTGCTTAATGTTCTTAGCCTATTCTTCCTTTTGCTGGAAGCCAAACATGCCTTTTTGCCACTATATCATTAAAAAAAAAAGGATAAACATTAACATTAAATGAAAAACAGTTATAATTCATTGCATTTTATTACCTTATTAAAAAGGTATATGGCAAATCTGAAAATGCTATATCAATAGTCCACCATACATGTATACAATACCAGCTTTCTGGCATTTCCATGCATAATGGATTTGAAGTCATCTCATATAGACGAATCCTGCCTAATTAAGATACATAGGTTAAATTATTGAGAATAAATTATGATCAGAGTTTGCCATCTACTTACCAATCTGCTACAGTTGTTCTAACATGTTCATATTGAAAATCCATTATCATATTAAAATCTTTGCCAAGTTTTGGGGTTGTGCATTTAATACTTCACCTGTAAATTCATTTACAGAGAATTAGTTTAGTTATTAAGTACAACAGAAGTTACAACATCTTTCATATTTACCTTGGGAAAACTGTTAATATAAGCCAAAAGATTTTTGTCTATATCAGGCATCTTATTACCATATTCTTTGTTGATAATTTCACTAATTTTTTTTGGATCAAATCCAGTTTGGACAAAATTGTCACTTGGATTTATAATGAATGAATGTATAAGACTGAAATACAATAAAAATTTAGTTGATTAGCAGCTTTAGCAACTAAAAGATTCATTATGAAATCTAAAATGCAACATTTACTTGTGATACTTGCATTTCACTCCCAAATCATATAAAACATCTTCAACATATTTCCCTGTACTAAGCTTCCATTTCTTATCATTAGTCATGACCTTAAATCTACATTCAGGGAACAGTTAGATAAACTTCACAAAAGTTGAGGTTTGTGCATGACCAAAGGATTCTTACTGTTGAGTAAATAATTCTTTGTCTTTGTATGTAAATTCATAGTCATTAATTGACATGTCTGGTATTGCAACAGCCTCTTCATCAACACCATTTCTTTGCTCATCTTCCTCATATTGTTTTTCTAATGCACCAGGTAAGACCTCATTAATCACTGATGCACTTGAGAGAGGTGATAGTTCACCATTGTGCTATACAAATATCAAAAAGGTTCATATAAGTCATTTAAAACCCATTTTTGGTATTTATACTAAATATAATTACCTCAATCCTAGAAAATGGGAAGATTCGGTTTTTGGAAGTTTTTGGCTCACTAATAGTTTCAGCCTACGGACACCAAAAGGTTTATCTCCATTTATATAATAAATTTAGGAAGGAAATTTAATTTTAAGCTCACCCAAATAACTTTATTTCAATAATGTCCTATGTGGCAGTCTGATAATCTATTGCATACATAATAAAAGAAAGAGTATAATTATTTACATTAGTAAATGTGGTAGTTGATTTTTTTTAATTAAACTAGTGGCAATAGCCACCACCACCATTCTTATGATAAACACTTACTCATTAACAACATCTACAATATAAGAATTGTTATTTGATCAACAAATGTGTACACAATCATAGACAGAAGTTTGTATGATTGGTAATTTTTTGTAGATCATTTCTGAATCTTTGTAATTTAATTGGTTCAATTTTATTGGATGATATTAAAATAAATTCACTTAATTACAAAGCTACTACTGCCATTATTTTTTCAATTATCATAATTCTTATTAGCCAAGTAACAACTATCTTATGCAGTAGCAAAATGATTAAAAATAATTTGAGTTCATTATTTATTAGATTGTTTTTACACATAACAAAAATTCTTAAAATCATCAGGAAATTTTCCCTGCCACAATATTACATCCATAAATTTTAATATGTAAAGTTGTAATATTTGCATAAAAACTATGTAATATTTACACTCAATGTAATAATTGCATAATTTTGTATGCTTATTTGCATAATATTACGGGACTGCCATAAACTTACATAAATAGTATAAATAGTGTAATACATCAGGAAACTTTTCCCACCATAAATTTACATAATATTATGGGGCCCGCCATAAACTTACATAAATAGTGTAATATTATGCAAAAATTGCACAAAAATTATGCAATTATTACATTTAGTGTAAATATTACGTCCTTTTTATGCAAAATATTACGTCATTTCATATTAAAACTTACAGATGTAAACTTGCGTCAAAAAAAATTTCCTGATGTAATTATGTAAATCTGCATCAGAAAAATTTCCTGATGATAGTAATCAAACAAAAATACAAAAAAAGCTATAGCTGAAGAAATCGCCATATTGTATCATCTCATGGGGCTAAAATGTCATCTGCAGATTCTTTAATGTCATCATTGTCATCTTCAAGAATAGAATCAGGATCTTCACTCTCAGCATTATTATTCAAATTAATTTGATGTAAACTTCTAGAAGTGATTGAACATGTTTATCAACACCACCCTTAATAAAATCTAAGCAATGTAAGCACTTGGACCCATCTTGGTTAAAATGTGATGTAAAATATAATGTTAATTTGGAGTTAGAACAATGAGGAATAAAGCTCATTCTTTAATTAAGAATTTTTTTGTTTCTTTATTTTGTTTTTTATCTCAGGTAATAACAATATATCTAATGCATCCACATCAATGTTAATATCATAATCAACATTGCTAAATAAAACATCACAAATTTGTCTTTGGATTCTTTTCAAAGCAATAATACTAATAAATATAATATTAAGAGATTTATGCACATACTCCTACAAAATCTGAAGAATCAATATTAGAGGATCACCTGCTTCATATAACTGTATTTAATGGTTTGGCTTTCAGGTGGATTGAAAGTGAAGAAGTAAAAATACCTTTTCAAATGGTTGAATCCAAATAGGAAGGCTCTTCCTGGAAGAATTTTGAATGATGCATCTTTTAAACATAATCATTGGATAGAACAGCAAGCATCCAATTTGTGTACAAATTACCTAATATAGTAATTTGGACACAAAATTGGACTGTCCAATATGTCAATGTGACTTTGTTACATCATGTCCAATTCCAAATACTAATTGGACATTCGGATCCAGATATTGGACACAAATTGAACAGATTTTCCAACACTGTATATACTGGTGAAGTTTCAGGAGCAATGGGTTCTATATAACAGTTTGTATAACAACAAACATCCACCATGCTTTTTAGACCAAGTTAATAACAATATTGTTGATAACAATCTTGATAATAATAACATAATAATCAACTAATAACTTCCACTATGCTTTTTAAATATATAACCCTTTATATAAAATAGTCTTTTGACTGTAATTAACTAATAAACCCAGTGTGATTATTCCAGCCCTTCTAATGATTAATGGTCTGGCCAACCTTTAACTATTAGTTGGGAACCCTTTTAATTATTAAACATGTTGCCTTTGAAATATACATGGATGCACCAACTTAGGAATCTTTTATCTAGACTTTGGGTTGTAAGATAAAAGAGCCATTGGCTGTAATTTAGAGGTTCTAGGAAAACCAGACATGTGTTGATATTTGGACTTAGGGTCAATAGGTATAATTATGGGCTAATTTGGGGGCAAAATAAGACCAGCTGTGTGCCAAACATAAGAATTACCTGGTAAGTAAGTAACTCAGATCGCACACTTGCAATAATATATAACAATAACATTTATTTTTATATTACTTAATCAATTATCCATCTATAAATGATAGAAATGTCAACCAATTTACTAAAATGCAAGGAAATTTTATAAAATTTTTCTGTTGTGGATGGGTGAAAAAATACTACTTCCCTGACTGTAGCACAAGTCCCATGAATATTTTATTTATTATTTTGCCAAAAGGATTAAAAAGAAAAAATAGATAAGTATGTAATAATAAAATTTATCTTCCTTTAAAAGATTTCTGCTTTTTGTTGGGCAATAGTATATTTTCATTTATTATTATTCTTTCATCTTGATAAATTTCATAAGTAATTCTTTCTTTACTTAGATAAGCTTCAAGTATCTGAGTATCATTTTTTTGAAATATAGGATAAATTTTTCACCCTGCTCCTTTTTTAAAATATTTCTAATGGTGCTGTAATTCTTGGGTTTCCTAGATCTAATATAAATTAACTTCATATTAATTATTTTGTCTAGACAAATATCATGATCACATTACAATTGTACTATTGATCCCTGAAATCCTTGGTAACACTTTGTCTGGTTTTGTTGCAACATGCCCCATATTAATAAAGTCACCACCCAAAATGAATCTTTGCTTACTTCATACAAACTGATGATTTTGCAGTATCAGTTGGTCTGCAGAAGAAAGTTGATGATAATAAAGTGGATGTTGATGAAGAAGAACCAAATATTGATTTGAATGGATGCAAAGTATTTGGACTGGATCCTGGAAGAATAGATCTGTTTGTAGCAGTGAGTTCGGATGAAAAAGTTGTGAGTTGTTCCAATAAAGAGTACTGGAATTTAGCAGGCTTGTAAAAAACATGAATTGAAAAAAAAAAATCTTCAGGCTGTTATTTGAGGTGAGCTATACTTTGTTAATTTAATTGGCTATTAAACAAGAATACATGTAAATTCTCTTTGTTATTTTCGTTAAACAAAATTTTTTTTAAGAATCTTCATTTAAATTTCGGAAAGTAGTGTTCTCATCCTCACACCAAAAAATTTACTAATAAAATGTCAACGGAATTTTGATCTTCTCTAATATAGACGTTAGAATACAAAGAAGGCATATATAATGAATTCTCAATGCGGAGTAAATTGTTCGTCCCTTTATATTTTGAGCAGCGACTCCAGTTGGAGCTGATAGGAATTCTACGTCTTGTAAATTCTCTTACTAATATACAGTATTAATTAGCTTTGAAAATATTTTTTGAACTGGTCTTTCCAATATGAATCATCATCATTGGGATTAATCATAGAACATTACATTGGATGGATCAGTTACAAGATACTTTACTTGTGTTACAGATAGTTTCACCAAGGAGAAGAAACATTAATTCCATAGAACCCATTTGGCGTGGATGCTCATAATAAACATTACTTTCTTGGATGTTGGATAAGTGAGAAGGCCCAGGTTTTGATATATATTCCTTGGTAAACTTTGTTAAAGCATATTGTAGATTGATCACTTTCTTTCAATTATATTCATAGTAGAAGTTAGTATTTGTAAATAAATTTGACTGACAAATTAAATAATATTGTTAATTAACAAATAGTTTTACTGTGGATTCCAGGTATAAAATTGTATAATTAATAAATTTTTTCACACGTTTATACATTTTTTAAAAGCACAATTAATTTTAATAATTGCATTATTAGGTATGAACTCCAAAAATAAATTTCTTATAATTTATAAAGTAAAAATTATCAGTTAATAAAATCAGAGCTCTTTGGTTTATAGCCTATTTTTGATGTCTCAGCTTTACATAAATAGCATAGTGTGAAATTCAGTCTTGGATAGATTCTACTTTTGAAATTATATTTCATCATCATCAACCATTTTCATTAATGATACATACATATCTTGAGCTGAATAACGATCACTTCGACCAACATTACTTTCATGAAAAAATCCAAAATGATAATTATGGAAATCTTTGTTCCACTTTCCTTATTTCCAAATTTCTGACTTTCTTTTAATGCCCAACCTTTTCGCTACCATCGTCAACAAATACTTCAACATATTAACAAGCTCGATTTCAAATTCTATTAGCTGATTATGGTAACACGTTATTTGTTGTTATTATTATGCGGATTAAAGTATGTTGAAATTTAATTAATTAGTTAATTATTTGCATTCAACATGAGAATAAAAATATGAACAGACTTGTTGTATTCACCATTCCCTCCATCATATTTTTCATTCATTCATTCATAAAATAACACTTAATTTCATGGTAGTGTGTGTCCTTTTCATGCTAACATTGTCACCGATTAATTTTGGGAGAACGAATTAATTGATTAATTTGTTATGAGGATCAAACTGTACTAGTGAATAGTTTTAGGTATGATTAGATTATTCCTCAAGTCGGAACTTGTTATTATTATTATTTTTTCAAGAATAATCATTGTGAAGGTGCATAGAATTTACATACACGATGTTTCATTAGAGGGCTTCTTCCTCGACTAAGCCTAAAATTGTGCCTCGTCGACTTAGTCGATTTTGTAGTCTTAGTCGACTTTGTAGACCTTAGCACTACGTCAAATTATGTCGAAATACAATGTAACAAAATATTAATAAATATCTAGATAAAATAAATAAATGAGATAATGTAAAGATCAACAATTCCCGGGTAATAAAGGCGTGTTTCAAGAAACTTCAAAAATTGGAATTCAGTCAATCATTATAAAAATAATAAATAACATTTGCTTTAAACTATGTCAACTAATAATAATTCTACAGCACAGAACCTTCCTTTATTTGCCAGATTCAAAAAGTTCATCGAGTGTGATATGGCACTATTTTAATAAAGGTTCGCGCGTGATGATGAAATTTATTCAATAAAATTCGGATTTCGATTTAAATTTATCAAATATTTCTTTCGAATATCCATTTGCTTGTTCGAAAATAACTAGAGGAAAAAAGTTATAGTTTTAGAAGTCCATGTCTATTTTGATTGATGTGCTACTATTTCTATCTCCGTTTCAAATTCAAATTCGATTTTTGATCGATTTCAGTCGAAAGTTTTAAGATTGATTCAAAGAAATAAAATAAAATAATCCGTCAAATTAATTCTATCCAAACACAATTCAATTCTCTTTTGTGCAAATAATTCATGTGATTTAATGAGAGTTAAATAACCACAATTTTATGTTTAAAGTCATGAATACGAAATGATGACATTAAAGTATTATTTGGCCGGTCTTTGGAACGAGCCAGTTCGTTTGATGAAATAAAAGGCTGATAATCAATTAGCATAGCAGTTTGATTTGTCATTTCATATCACGTGGTGGAGCGATATTTTATTATTATGTTGCTACGTTCTGCAACCCGTCAACGCTCATTAAAACAAATTGTTTGAATAAATTTATACTTTTTGATATCAGAACAACAATCATGATATAACAAGTACATGAATTTATTTTAATGTTCCAATGTGATTTTCTTTCTTGAACATTTTAGTTATCTTAAATAACTGAATTATTTTAAATGAATTATAATGCACACACATTATATGGCGTTTAGATTATACCGTATATAATAGATGTCATTGCATTTTCAAAAAATACATATCGAAGAAAAGGTCTACGCTGCGAAAAAAGCAACTTCGAGTTAATACTACCAATATACACAACTTTTTATTTTTACATAGAATATGTTTGGATGGGAAACCGTATATATTACTTTGTATAGTAAAATTATCCTCAAACCAATGCTATAATGAAATTTCCTACTTGGCCGAACATAGTAATGAAATTTAAAAGGTTTGTTTATTTATTATTAATTATATATTTGTGATTAATTTGACTGGAGTTACAAAAAAAAAATAAAGAAATACAATTTAAAAAATCTAAAGAATAAAATCACTACATAGAAGAAAATAAACAAACAAATTAAATGATTATCTATTATTGTTGCGACTGTTGACTAAAAATTGATTTATGGCATTTTGGATATTTTGAAGTTGAGATGCTATGTAAATAAGTAGTTGCTCATTATTGTTTTGGTCAGTGGTGACAGTAGAATTAATAGAATTTTGATAGGAACCTTCTCCGATCTCAAAAGAATTATTCGGATGATGATTAATGTTCGTAGTAGTAGTTAGATTCTGGTAAATGATATCATTGAGACTAGAATATTGATTGAAATTATTGCTTTGAAGAATTTCTCCAGAGTTTTGATTAGTATAATTATTTCCGACATTCTGGCTGTTTAAAACATTTTCCCCGTGGTTTTGACAAGTATAATTATTGCCTCCAAGGTTTTGATGATTAGTAGAAACAAGATCATGGTTATTAAAAACATTAGCCCAATCGGTATCAAAATAATTTTGATGGCTTTGATCGCCCATTTTTTAAATGGTTTTTTTTATATAGAATTATTTATATTATTTATTAATTTTTTTTTTTTTAAAAAAAATTTATTTTTCGTTTGCCCTTCAATCTTTTTATATTAAAAATTTTACAAAATGTATGTTTGTTAAACTTGCTTAATACGGGTCTTTCATGTTTTCAGGTGTAACCAGTGAGCGCATTATTTAAAAAAATAATAAATAATTTTTTTAATTTCCTATCATCATACGATCATACGATGCTAGCATAGTGGAAGTTTGTTGTTACACGAAATGTTATATAGAACCCATTGCTCCTGAAACTTCATCAGTATATAATTGTTGCCTCTCTAAATTGGAGACCAAGTTCAGATCCAATTTATCACTTAATTTTTTTTTATTGCAAGAATGTTTGCCGTATATTGCAAAGTTACGTTGCACAGTAACATTTCAAATTTTCACAAGCTTGATTGGGTAATTTTTAATGATCTGCATACTAATATAAAATTTCCGAAATTTGGAAGAAAACACAACAAAACGTGCAGTCTTCAAATTGTTATTTCTTCTCCATTTTCAACAAAATAGGTACCAGTCGTGAGTGAAAAAATAGTAAATAGGTAGTATTTTAAAAAGTTCGGTATTGTAAAATATTCATTTAAAATTTCCTTTGTTGCAATACTTTTTGCTCTATTACAACTTTCAAAAAAAACATATAAAATTAACATACTCTCTCTGTATCAGTATTCTACGTATAGTTTTCAATTGAAACAACTTAATTGTTTTGCAAATGGATGAATTTTGCAGGAGAAATAACAGTTTAAAGTTTTGATACTATAAATTCCATGAAAAAATCCGCATATATAAATTTTTTAACTGATCAACTAATATCCAATAATAATAACAACCGTATTAGTATCTTTATAATAATAATAAATTGATCAACATTTCTCTCATATCATCAATTAATATTTATTTTTCTGCGACCTGTTAACGCGCATTAAAGCAAATTATTTGAATAAATTTATACTTTTTGATCTCAGCGCAATAAGTTATCTTAAATAACTGGATTGTATTAAATGAATTATAATGCATACACATCATATAGGGTTTAGATTATACAGTATATAATAGATGTCATTGCATTTTCAAAAATTACATATGTTCATACCGTGAAAAAAAGTAACTTCAAGTTAATACTACCAATATACGCAACTTTTTACATAGAATATGTTTGGATTGGGAAACCATATATATTACTACTTTGCATAGTAAAATTGTCCTCAAACCAATAGTAAGTTCCTTCTTATTTCATGGCTCTTTTCTAATGAAGTTTTCTTCTTGGCTGAACATAGTAATGAAATTTAAAAGGGTTTGTTTATTATTAATTATATATTTGTGATTAATTTGACTGGAGTTACAAAAAAAAAAAAATAAAAGAATAAAATCACTACATAGAAAAAAATAAACTAACAAATTAAATGATTATCTATTATTGTTGCGACTGTTGACTAAAAATTGATTTATGGCATTTTGGATATTTTGAAGTTGAGATGCTATGTAAATAAGTAGTTGCTCAATATTGTTTTGGTCAGTGGTGACAGTAGAATTAATAGAATTTTGATAGGAACCTTCTCCGATCCCAAAAGAATTATTCGGATGATAATTAATGTTCATAGCAGTAGAATATTGATTGAAATTATTGCTTTGAATAATTTCGCCAGAGTTTTGACTAGTATAATTATTTCCGACATTCTGGCTGTTTAAATCATTTTCCCCGTGGTTTTGATGAGTATAATTATTGCCTCCAAGGTTTTGATGATTAGTAGAAACAAGATCATGGCCATTAAAAACATTAGCCCAGTTATCATCATTATTAAAATCGGTATCAATATTGTCAAAATAATTTTGATGGCTTTGATCACCCATTTTTTTATTATTTATTATGATTTTAAATGATTTATATTAAATATTATTATTTTTCTTTTTTTTTTTTTTTTAAAAAAATTTTTTCTTTTTTTATTTTCGTTCTGTTATTATTATATATATTAAAAAAATTTCCTTTACGGTAATAAATTTTGGGCGAAATGTGTTTTTTTAATTTGGTTAGTATTGATTTGGTCAGCATACAAATTTTTGATTTGGTTAGTATACAAATTTTTAATTTGGTTAGTATACAAATTTTTGATTGATTTGGTCATCATACAAATTTTTGATTTGGTTAGTATACAAATTATAAATAAAAGGTATATATATAATGATATAATTTTTCTTAAAAATTCTAAAAAAGGAATGGTCAGTTCCTTTTATATTATTTATATTATGTTGGATCATTTTTCAATTGTTTTATAATAGACTACGGGTTACACTTATACATGAAGTCGAAACTATTTTGACCATTTGCAGATCTGGTCGAAATAGGGTCGAAACTGATTTTTACTATGTAGTTGCTTCAAGTCAAAACATTTCAACTTTGGGGGTTTAATTTCGACTTCATGTATAGTTACACTTATGAGGCGGGTGCAAGTACACTAAATAACAATCTTTCAAATTTTACAAGTATACTCTTTTCACTTCAACATTCCCTGATCCATTCGAAGTAACAATTTTTATTTCTTGATTGCAATTCATTACTAAAATGCCAGTTGGTTTTTGTTCCGTTTGCAAAATAGAAAAAGATGACTCTAAGTGGCGAAATATTTCAGAACAAGGAAAAGAAAAAGCAGAACTAGTGGGTTATGAATTAAATATAGGCAAAAGAATATGTTCTAAATCTATAATTCTTATATAGCATATGATAGATATAATAAATATAAAAAATAAAAATGAATTATTACCTCATTTAAAAATTCCTTTGTGAATATGCAATATTTTTAATACAACAACAACACTATCTTCACAATGTATTTCTTCGCCGTCTATTCCAACCATCTACTCGAGTAATTTTGTGTATGGTCGCAAATCCGCATTCACCTATTTTTTTGATATTTTTCGACATTACCATAAAGAATCCATCGAAGATAATGATCATTATCAAAGAAAACCTGAAGATGCAACATATAAAATGAGAAAACCAATTGAAATGGAAGCAAATACTAATTTTAGTTTACAAAATCAAATTACAGAATTTAAAAGCAGAATTAGAAAAGATTACTAAACCATGAAGTCAGCATATTCCATATTAATCAAATAAATTGATTTTATTATTATTAATATATTTAAATAAATTAATTTTATTATTTTGTTTTTTAATTAAATAAATTAATTTATTATTATTATTTGTTTTTTTAATAATTAAATGATTAATTTTTAGATGCTATACAATTTTTTAATGATCAAATATAAAGTAAAAAATGGAATTATTAATGATCCTAATGAAATGATCAAAAAAGAGATCCTTGATATGTTATATAAAAGTAGAGCCCTTCTCAAAAAATTCCTCTACAGAAATAAGTTTAAAAAGAAAAGTAATGATTCTCTGTTACCAATTATCTGCCCAGTTTTGATTCCTGATGTGATTATGAAAATTGTGAAATAGCAGATGACTATATACAATGATGATACTTGCATATTAATTTGTGGTCCATGAATATCATTATCAATGCCTTCAAGATCTACAGTTTAAATGTCAACATTGTCTTGATTATTTATTGAATGGCATTGAGTATTTAGGAAATTCTATATAATAATAGATTAGAAAGTTTGGATAATACATCTGTATTAGGTGAAGATGAAGAAGGGGATGAAAATACTATAGATAATGAAGAAAATACTAATTTGGAAGGGCTTCCAATAACAATAAGATTATCTTCAATAAAATTATCATCTTCAAAATCTCTTGATTTTCTTTTTTGATTTGATGGTTTTTTTTTGACTGTACAATTAACAAGTAATGTTGAGAGCGAAGCTGACAATTAAGGTAATTATAATCATTATTCTAAACAGAACATCTTTCGCTTCACAATTTAAAAAATTGCATGTCCTAAATTGATTTTATTAAGGGTTTGTATTGTGGGAGAACAGGGGTAGTTAAATGATAGCTATTTTACTAGCTGATAGTCTTGTTGTGTCATTTAATTTATAAAGATATATTTTATTGCAGGTCAATATTTTGTTATTTTCTTTATTCAAAATAATTTACAAGTAAAGCAAATTTCAGTTAATATGACTGAATTGGTCTTGATCTGCGCGTAACTTCCTTTGAATGTTCCTCAGGATTCAATCGTTCCATATAAATCAAATTATCTATAAAAAATTGCATTTAAAATTTGTTATACTAAATTATTAATCACGTTTTATGTTTTACATGTATATATATATATAATAAGAATGAACACGTGTAACATATCAAAAACCAATCAAAAGGTTAGTTTTGTGTGATGACAAAATTTGGCCAATGAAATAGCTCGTTTTACGGTGTCATTAATAACAACAACTACAACAACATTAAACAAACGTGACATTAAACGAAATTTAACAATAATAGTATATAACTGGCATGAAAAAATTTTCTGATGAAAACTCTGCTCCTCTTCCTCGAAAGGCTTTTTTTTTTGCTCACCTTCCTTGGAAGGTCTTTTTTTTTTGCTCACCTTCCTTGGAAGGTCTTCTTTTTTTGCTCCCCTTCCAAGGCCAAGGAAGATCATTTTTTTTGTTCTCCTTTTGAGGAAGGCATTGCTTCCTTTAATATATAATTCACACCACCAACACTACCAATACCACTTCTTCAAACTGTAATAGTCAGTCAAAATTTTTTATATTTCTACATTAAAAAAGCACTCCGTAACAGAGCATGTTGCGAACCGGGCAATAAATTTTTACCATTTCGATAATTATGAATGTAAGTTTAATAATTAAACTAATTATTTTATTTTATTAAATATTAACAAATCTGTTTCTCTTTTTTTAAGACGCTAAATATCAGTGACCGAGTTGAACGAATGAAAATTATTGTTATATTTTTCCGAACACAACAATACCAATGGGGTATAGAATAATCATGGAATAACATACATTTAGGGGGAACCAGCAAGGAACAGGTAAATATAATAACAAATTATGCTTTGCGGCACAATTATATTTTGCGTTATGAATTAATTAATTAATTAATTAATTATATGTAATTTGAATCTTAAAATTAAAGAACCATTACTAATTGATAAATCCTTATGAAGTTTAGATGGAGTCTTTTAATCCCCGTACATGCAACAAGATTCCCCCTTCAATATACTTGGAACTGTCTGCCCCAATTATTGGTCCAATGGAGCAATGCATAAGGTTAAGCGCAAGAGCCACTACCGGAACCATTACTACGATCACGATCGATGATATCCGTAAAAAACTCACTTGGATTGACGGGTTGCGGATCAAAATATTAGAAATTTTATCATTGTTTTATTAGTATTTATGTAACATCAAAAAAAAAATTTTTTTGTAACATTAAAATAATCATTTTTATTTTCATTATTTTCATCTAATTCACTTTTCGTTGTCCCCTATTTACATTACTCCTTTACTTATTTGTAACATTACTCGTGATGGATAATGATGATGATAATTACTGTCAAAGCTCTTTATATACCAAACTCTCCTGGGCCGAGAAATTTCGTGTCAATCAATCAAATATATAAAATTGCAATCCATATATGATTACATGTTGCCCATATAAAGTGAGGCCTAAAGATGGGTGTCGCAATTAGCTATAATTCAATTTTCGTTGCAATTTAATTTTTATATGCCGCAATTAGTTGCAACTAATCTAACACTGATAGAAAATTCTGGTTTTTCCAGTGATCCCTTTTAACTTATGTTTTCCAAAATTGGTTGCACATCGGTAAAATAAACCAATTTCCTTCCATGTTTATATTAATATCAAAATTTTTGACCAGTGTAATCATCTTTTCATTTCACCATCTTTTGTTTTTTTTTGCCATCAATATCAAAAACTGGAAAAGAAAACAAATCATCCGGAATCACCAGCTTGAAAAAAACATTTAATCGAGAACAATGAAAATAACCCTGAAAGTGAAAATGTTATTCAGAAACTGCAAAAAAAAATTTTTTTTAAAGAACTAGAAAACAGAAGCTAATCAAGAAGAAATTATCCAATTACTCCAATTAGCATAGTTAAAATTTCTCTCATTAGCTATTTATTGTGGCTAGAATTAAATAAAAATGTGCGGGATCTATAGGTTACTTTAAATGAGCAGAAGTACATATTGTGAGATCATGTTCGAGACTCAATGATGATTATTTATTTATTTAATGTTAATAATGTTAATATAATTTCTTCCAATTTATTTATACTAGATCGTAACAACAATTTTCGCGAATGTATATTTATGCTTTACTCTCAAACTACCCCTTTCACTATCGTTAAACAATTCCTTGCTAAGTAATACTAAACAATATCTTTTCTTTAGATTTCACACTATATTCTGATCACGTTTCTTGATAGGTGCCCTTCTTAGGTATTACCTTACTCAAGTCGGGTACGTTTCCCAAATCAAATTTATTAAATATTGTCTCACTAAAAGAAAAGAAATAAAAAATAATAATAAAAATAGAGACAAATATAAAATAAGAGAAAATTTATTATACACGGGATTAGTATGAATTCATCGTTAGAGATAGATTTATCATCATTACGAAAATATAAAATTCGAAGACAACAGAACAACAAGGACAAGGACAAAGTTAAGGATAGTGTTATTTACTAAATGATTATTATGATAATTGATTGACGATAAATTGATTATGATAATGATGAAGATAACGATACACGAACCTAAGAAAATTACAACATTATTTATACATGTTAAAGGTTATATAGGACCACGAACAATCATAATTGATGTCATATGGAAAAAAGCGGGTAAAAAGCTGTCTTTAGGTAAAAAAGAAAAAAGGTTAAATGTAAAAAATTTTAATCTCGTATATGAATTTATTAAAAAATTTTCATATGTAATAAGAACAAAATATCGTTCTCGAATCAAAGCAAATATCCAATTAACCAACCAAAAATACAAATACAAATCATTTACAATAAGCGGTTTAGTGTCACAAGCAGTTAGCAATCTTTAACGATCAACCAAAATCACATTTAATATGATGGGGGATGAGAAAAATATTAAACAATATAAATCAAAATACTGAATTGAACCAACTAAATTTAAATAGTTCTGGTAAGAATATTTAATTTCACAAAATTTCTCAATTTTAATCAATTCTAAAATCCATCTTTTCAATTTCTAGCATTATATTATCACTCAACTACAGGAAATTATAACTGATGTTGATATTATTTCAAATGTTTCCTGTAAATATATATTAATCTTCAAAGTAATATTGTTCTCACATTTATTATCAAAACAAATCATCTATTATCTTGGGAGTCAAGTTTCAATAGTATGAATAGTACAAATATGATTACTTTACATTCAATTGCATTTAAAATTTATAAAACTCTAACAGATGAAAAGATTTTATTGTCTATTTTGCATTATTTAAATATTTAGATAAAAACAAATAGGTAAAATTACATATTTTTGAATGTGGTATGAAAATTTCAGGATAAAATTATCAAACTTTTTCGGGGTAAAATGGTCATTTTCGTTAATACAATTATCTGGGGTCCTAGTTCTATCATCTAGTTCTCTAAAATCCTAATTTGTTCTAATTAAATGTATTTAAACCTTCTATGTAGAATTATTTTCAAGTTATTTCTAAATGTGATCAAATCATTTAAATTCCTTCGTTTAAATTTAATCTGAGAATTAAAGGTCTGTTACATTTTAGATATTTTCCACGAGTCAATGATTTTAACAATATGAAATTGGATTGGTTTGAATTCTTGATCAGTTTTTCCGATTTATTTATTGATTTTCCACGATCAGTAAAATTATTATTTTAAATATAAAGCACACCTTTCATTACATATCAAGAAACCTTTAAATTTTCCTTGAACTTTCCTCTATATAGAACCGAAAATGGTTTTAAAAATAGGTATAACTTTTAATGGATGGCCTATTGTGACCTAAGTGACTAATTGTCATCAGGGTCATTTCCAACACTATGTACATCAACCACGCAAATAAAACTAAATACTAACGTGTAACGTGACACGCACCCTCAAGTCAAATCGATTGGCCACAAACGTGTCCATAAAGAGAAATTATCAAAGACTTCAATTCTCGCCTATTCACGTGACTTGTACCCAAATTTAGAAGAATTTTCCTTTTCTGGACACTTTATTGAGAATCACCAGTGTGTAACTGGTTAATACCCCCCTGAAATTTATTTAATCAAGTGAAAAAAATCAAGCGTATTGTATCTCTTCGTACTTTAGATTTTATTTTTATTATTAAATAGCAATAGAGAGAAAATAAAGATGTCGTCTTTCTACAAAAAATTCAATAGATTATCAATCGATAAAAAAAATAAACACTCTACGGTTAGGGAAAATGGAGAACCTACAACTTTAGTTTTAGAAGTACCAACTTTTGTATCTTCGACAAATATTTTTGTTCCTGATCTGTTAATTTCCAATGGCGTTAATCATAATAATAACAACAATAATGAGAGTAACGAAAATAATATTATTAATGGTGGTAATAATAATACATCAACATTTCCAATGACAAATTCATTGTTTAATCATATTAACTCAAATATAAACAACTACAACAACAGCATGATCAAATATCCTTTGGAAGACAAAGAGGAATTAGAAAAGTCAATAATTGCTGAAACAAATGATTTTCTCAACATATTAAAACGTGATCTAAGACCTAATACTCGATTTTTTGCTACTATCTCTTCAAATAATAGTGCTAATGCAGGTAGATATTTCTATTTGTCAAATAAGTTTTTAAAGAAAATTAAAATTTAAAAGAATAATGAAATTAATTAAATAAGCAATTATTTTTTAAAGAACCACCAAGTACTTTATCAACTGCCACCAATAACACCAATATCATTAATACTAATAATATTAATAGCATTAGTAATAACATTGGTAACGTCACCGCAAACGCAACTACTGCTTCATCCACATCCACCCCCACAACTATCAATAATGAGACAGCCAAATCTGATGAAAAGAAAAATAAAAGGAAATCAAAATTAATAAATAAAGTTGATGATGGTGGTGAATTGACAAATAAAGGAAAAAGAAAAAAGCCAGACACAACAGTTGAAAAAAATAAGAGTAAAAAAAGGGATAAAAAAATAAAAAATAAAATGGTTATTGATAGTGTTATTGATGATGCTAATAAACAGCCAAAACTTTCTGAAGAGGAAAACTTGGAAACAATAAAAGAAAAACAAAATAAGAAAAAACAAAGAAAAACTTCAATGACACCTGTCACTTCAAAAATAAAAAATGGACCAACAAAGAAAAGAACGCCTAAAAAAAATAATCAAACAATGCCACCGCCGCCGCCGCCGCCACCGCCACAACATTCTTCATCTTCTTCATCCTCTTGTTCATCCTCTTCCTCCTCCTCGCCATCACCATTACCATTATCGTCTCCAAGAAAAACCAAAAAACCAAAATTAGTTCATGAGCCAACAATTCCTTTACCATCGTCATCATCATCATCATCGTTGTCGTCATCGCCTTCGCCATCTACAAAGATTCCTTCATCAAAAATAAAGCCTGGAAGTTTAAGTATGATTTTAAACTTGGACAATAATACAACATTTGATCAATCAAATATACATTCTACCACAACGAATTCATCAATATCTTCAGATGATGAATAAAATTCAAGGTGAATGAATAGCTCTTCTACTTTATTTATATATGTGTGTGTGTCTGCTCGTACGTGCCTAGACAGACTAGTCACTTGTGCTAGTAGGCTACTTCAGACTTTCCAATTAGGGTGTCAATACAGGTTTCAACAGAATAATGATTAATCTATTATTTCTTTCATTCTACTCGTTGCCTGTTATACATTCATCCAATTAGTTAATTTTCACTTTCTCTACCATAATTTACGGTTTTATTTTTTTATATTTCATTTAAAACAAAAAAAAAAATTTATATAGATTTAAGAACATTTTTCAGGGAAAGAATTTTAGATTCAAGATAGTTATTATTAATGTAATGATATTTCTCAATTAATTTTTTTATCGACTCATAATAATAATATATTGAATATTGCTATCAAATTCTATTAAGATATTATTATTCATAAAGAATTAAAATTCGGAGTGTTTCTTTATTAAATGGTGTGGATATGCTTGCTAAAGCTATAGAAAAGTTTTCATCACATTAATATAATCAACATGTTACCTATAAGATTGTGTTACAACATTTAAAAAGGAAAAGCAATAGAAGATGGAATTAGTATTTGAGAAATAATAACATACAGAAGAATATTTTTGTAATCAGCATGCTAGAAGACTTTCCAAAATTTATAGTAGTAATAGTAAAACATCCTGTTTTCAAATTCCCATTTTCAACTAAATTTGCGCGAAAAGATAGTTTAGGGACTAGTAGCATAACACAGTTTTTATTTTATGCTAAAAATCATCGAAAATGCATAGGCTCAAGAACCAAATCAGGTAGAGCAAAAAATTCTGTGGCTTTATTCTTTAAAGATATAGGAAATGTAACAGAATTTTATCAGCATTATAAAAAATAAAGTTATTATAATAATGAGGGTTTAAATTTAGATGTAAAATTATATATTTGGTTTATTAATATTTTATCGTTATTATGATAACTCATTATATTCGAAGAATTTTTATAACTGAATCTTGCACTGGTCAGTATTTTCCTGGATTATAGCTATCAATGAGTAAAAAATCGGTAATTTTGTCAATACAAAATAAAAAAATCATAATTCGTCATTTAATATTATCTGATTTTATAGTTATTTTATTAATCAATCAATTAATCAATCCATTATTTTTCATTCATATTAAAATAAAATCATAGCATCCAACAACAAAAGAATCTTTAAGACACAAATTTATCAAATCTACAATAAAATTAAAAGAACCCATTGCAAATTGTGACAGAATTTTATTAATGTTTGAAAGGTTTTGTAAGTATATATTCATCCATCAATCTTTATTATTATATAATAAACTATAATTCATATGACAATATGTTGACTAATTATTTATTTATGGTTTTTCGTAAATCAATGCAAAAGAACAATTAAAATAACAATTCGTTAATCGAGGGTCACTAGGATTTCTACCATTCTCACATTTACGACATGATATCTTTCTTCTACCTGAGCTCTAATTTGTTCAAAACAAATTTTAGCCTCGATAAACTGTATCTTTACATAAATATAATCGAACATAAAACATTAATTGATTACCCAATAAAGTCTTCTGGGTCTTAAAACAAGTTCCTCGAACTCAAAACTCAACAATGGATTATTAACAAAAGTTTTGTCGCGTGTTTTTTTCTCTTTCTCTAATAGATGACTGTCCATTCAACAACAACAGAACTTGTTACTATTTACTATTACTACTATTAGAAATTATTACTACAATAAAACCCCGTCACGGGGCAACATATTTTTTTACATATGAAGCAAAAATTTTAAAAATCCGTTATGACAAGAATTTAACTATAGTTCGCTGTGACAAGGTTTGACTATATCTTGCATCTTGTGGCTCTATTGTTTCAAGGATTCATTATAGTCATAAATTGGTGGACCACAGATCAACGCAAAAAGATAATTCTTTTCCATATATAATTCAATTTGGGCCATTTTTTAATGTAAATAGCTCACCGGCAAAACCTGGCTTTTAATTTCAGGATATTAATATCTTTATTGTTACTTAAGGGGAGAAGTTTCGGTATTGCAGAAAGGTCGAGTACAGCAGATGGGAAGAAAATTGGCCACTGTGGTGACTGGATTCTTGGAGCAAAGAGGAAATATCAACGAATTTGGTGCGAGAGGAACATCAAACTGATGCCTGATCTGATGAATATGGCACCAAGTCAAAACTATTTAAGGATATATCGATCAGGTTATTAATTGGAATAAAAATATAGGAATTGTACATGCTAGCAACAGACCTTTTGTGATTGACCAAATAAATTGTAGGACTATTAATGATAGCTTTATACATGGATAATCCTTGTGGATATATTTGTGAAAAGTGAGATTATGGAGGTTCCAGATAATAAACAAAATTTTTCATCTATATTGTTGACTATACATCTTAGTAGCTCATCTTCTATATTTTCATAGTTTATCCTCATCCTCAGAATAATATACTATATCTTTACTGATCGAAGGAATTGCAACATTACCATTATCTTCATTCGCGCCAAGTAAATAAAAAAAAATCATTACAAACGGTATTTTTTCCTCTTGCTCTAATTCTCCAATAATACTTATCCATCTATTATTTCTTTTCTAGTTGATTTTCTATCTCTTACACATTCTCACAAAGTTGATACGTATGTAACCTTGATAAAGTCGGTCACGCGGGGTGGAGATCGTGTGACCGACTTATCAAGTAAACCGAATTAGGTTTTTTTGAACAAATTTGAATGCTATCCAGAACAATTTTATTTGGTATTAGAATACCTATGCTTTCGTCCTCCTTTTCTTCTTCTGGTGCTTCTTGTACTTCAGCAATTATCACATCATCCATCATTAATCCGTGCAACAAAAACTAGTCGTGAAGGTTAATATTAATTTAATTATGCTCGGGCCAAAGTAATTGACCGACTTGGTATTATTGTTTATTATTATCATTATTATCGTGATTTTATACGTATAGATTAACCGACTTATCAATTTTAAAAAAAAAAAAGGGTGAAAATTTTGGCCGAGCCGGGCCAAAACCGACCCACATATGTAGTCATGTGAAGATCGACAATAACGTTGTTTATCAAAACAAATCCTATCTTATGGTAGGTATATAATATATATATTTATTTAAATGAGTAATTTGACACCGCGTTCTATGAAATCAGTAGAAGATACAATCGATAGAACTCCAGAGTATATAAGCTTCATAAAAAGTCTTGAAGAGTTCCATAAAAATCATGGGTAAATAAAAAATAAATGAATCTTACCTTTTTTTTGCAAGAAATGATGCAAGCTTATACATATATGTTTAACCTCTGCAATAAATAGAACCACTTTCCAAAAAGAACCTGTTTTGGGATCAAAGAAATTAGATTTGTATAAAATTTATCAAATGGTGATTGCTGAAGGGGGGTGTGAAAGAATATGCGCGGAGAAATCATGGAAAAAAATATGCGAACGTTTTAATTTTCCACAAACTTGCACAAACAGTGCTTTTGTGATGAAAAATATTTATATAAGATTCTTGGAACCATACGAGTTGGAACACTTTTGGGGTAAAAAAGTTCCTTATGGTGGAATTCCCGGAAAACAAATATCTTCGCCACAACAACTGCATCAACAGCATCAACAGCATCAACAGCATCAACATCAACAGCATCAACAGCATCAACAGCAACATTATCATCATAGTGAAACCCCACATTTTGCGCCACAAGTAACTCCTGTTTCAACAAATCGAGTTTTAAAGATTTTACCACATGAAACTCCAAGAAATGATTGTAAGATAAATTGACGATATCATCTGTGTATTTTTTTTTACTTTGTGAATTAAATATTTAATATTATTATCATTAATAATTTTAATAAGATTATGCTAATCCAGCACAAAGAAGAATAGTTTATAGCCTGCCAATAGATTTTAGTATGGGAATAAAAGATGATTCAGATGAAGAAAAAGGTAAATAATATTTGAAATGATCTATTATTTACTACTATTTTTTTTTTCTATAAATATCTTTATTATTTTTCAATCTAATGATTAATTATTTAATTATTTATAAAATTATAGATTCCATTTTGAGCGGAGGTCATTTAAATAGAATACTTCTTGCTTTGAAATCACAATTAGCTAATGAGATAGATTGGGCATTAGATACTTTACTAAAAATATCCATGGATCAAATGATCAACTTCAGATTAGACAGAATCCCAGAACTTTTAGATATATTTGTTATTCATTTAAACAATTTTTACGTGCAAGTAACAAGTTTATATGAGGTGAATCAATATTCAACAGAATCAACCGTTAATGACTATTTTAACGACTTAAATAATTACCTGCACTTACAAAAAGCATCTCAAATATTTTTAATTTTAAGAAATTTCTCTTCTTATAATTATAATGCTGAATTAATGTCTGCCAACAAAATGATACAAAATTTTGTGATGGAGGCACTCACACTACCAGCATTTTTAAAATTTCCCCAAATTAGAATTTACTGTATAGAGATTATTAAAAGCATGAGTCATATTATTAAATTAAATAGCAGTGAAGATGAAATTTTGGTGGTTTTACGAAGACTTATTTTTTCAGATGATATTGCACTGGTTATACACAGTATCACAACAATGTCACGTCTAGCTGGAAATGAACAAAATTCAGAATTTATTAAAGATGTTGATTCTTGCGTTGTAAAACGTTTAGTAAATCTGCTTTTGATAGACGATGATGAAGAGTTGAGCAAGGCCATTTTAGAATTGTTGTATTATTTTTCTACATCTGAAGAAACAGCATCTCGCATGGTAGAATATGCCCCAGGAAATCTTGTACGTCTTTTAATTAGTTATTTAAGACATGGTTCAAGTGTGGAATCTCAAATTCATGAAAGAATACCCCCAATTGAAAAGAGACCACCCCAATTACATGGTGATTTTGAAAGATTTATGGAACCATATAGATCTTTAGAATGGTATATATATAATTGAATTTATATGATTGTCAATTTTGGTATTTTTAATATACAATTAATGATTCTTTAATATCCATAATAATGATGATAGGATTATGGCTGCATATGAAGAATCGCCATTTGATGGAGTTTTACAAACAGATATATGGTTTGCTTATCGTGATCAATTCCAAAATTCTCAATGTCCTATGATGCCAGCAGCAGAAGTTATTAAACTTGTTAATCGTGCATTTCCGGATTCTTCTGCAATTATGGTTACAGCATCAGATGGATCATACAAATATATGATTCAAGGTATTAGGCCAATACCACCAAAAGATGAAAGTCAACAAAACGATCTGTTGTACGATTGTAAATGGGTTGATTGTAAAGAAGCATCATCTTTTGAAAATGAAAGTAAATTGATGGAACATATAGTCATGGAACACTTAGTTAAAGAACATTTATCAGAAAAGAAACAGTATTCATGTAATTGGTTGAGTTGTAATAGATTTCCATCTGGTGCAGAAAATATCACAACTGTCATAGCTCACTTGAAAACTCATTTTCCTCAACCAGAAACTGAAAATAGCAGAAAGCGCAAGAGAAGCCCGGAGATTGTAAATAAATATGGTAGAAATAATGGAATTTACACTTATAAAACTTATATTAAATCGGACAATATTGGAGATGCTATCGGAATTCCATTATTAACCTCGTTAGTTTTAAGGAATTTATCTTTATCATCAGCAAATCTTCAACATTTTGTTGCGTATGAAAAAGAATTAGCAGAAATGCTTACAAGTTGTGTTGCGTTATCAAAGAACTTGGCTGAAACTTTGAGTAACATGCAAGCAATTTAATATAAATGTATATATGTGTATATATATATTTTTTTTTGGAAAAAAATAAATACTTTCTTATACAGTAAATAATAAAAATTAATAAAATTCTATTAATATAAATATATATTATGTGTTTTTCCTTTCTTCTCTTACCTCAAAATCTTTAAATACACAATTAATCTTTATCTAAATTAGTGTTATCATCATATTCATCATGAATCAAAACATAATCTCTACTACTAAAACCAAACTTCAGTACATCAGAAGGAAATAATTCAACATATCTTGAAGGCGGAATAGGTTTTTTATTAACAAAAGTTGAATTTGTTGAATCAAGATCAATTATATAAGGTTTTATTTCATATTTGGATTCTCCTGTTGCTTTATCTTTTATTGCTACTTCACGGAATTGTAATGCTGCATGTTGACTAGAACATGAAGGGTGATCAATTGGAATGTCAGCAACCTAACACATTTTTTTTATTATTTGTTGGTTTTTATAACAAACAATTAAACTGAATAAGAGAAAGTCAACGCTATATAAAAAAAAACCATTGAAAATAATGCCAATAGCACTTACCTTTCTTTCACGACCTAATAAATATGCACTTTGTCGATGGATATGAAGAACGTCTATTAAATATATTTTAGATGAATCATATTATGCATATATATATATATATATGCACATATATTTATTTGAAATACCTATTTGTTGATCTCCTTTGAAAACATAAAGCCTCCATTTTTTTGTTGGCAATTTTGCTTCTGGTGGTTCATAATATTTTAAAACAACACCGTTAAATGAATTTGTTTCCGCTGCAAGTTTTCCTGATAATTCAAAATTAGGTTTTGCTACTACTGTTGATGCTGTTGATGCTGTATCTTCTTCTTTTCGTTTTTTATTTTTAGAGGTAGAGTCCATAATTAATAATAATATTTCCAGATCAACATTTTTAGTGCGCCACACACGTGCCGAAATTTATTTTAGTAATATCACATGATCATATCGGCATAAATATCTATTAATCGCTGTTGTTCTGTAAACGTTGATGAAAACAAATAAGAAGAAAATTATTATGAAATGATTCAGGTAGTGGTGATGATGTACATTTGATAAACAGCTTATAAAGAAGCAGCTGTTAAACCAAATCTAGATTCGCTCAAGATTTTTCTACAAAACCAAATGCATTTTTACATTCAATGAGTTTATTTAGGTGATGCTACATTACATTAACTTTACGAAGCATTCAAAACTAGAACAGTATATTTAATCACGTGACCATAAACGAATTGAATAACTAATACAATGTGTGACAAAAATTAAGTGGTTCGCGCCATGTTTTGACAATATTACCCTATAATATATTAGGATATATTTAAATCGTTTTGTTTTGTTTTGGAATCATTGTCTGTCATCTTCCAATAAAGATACCCAAAGAAAAGCGATATTACAATTTTGGAATAATGGAAACCACTTCTGCAAGATAAATACATTATAGAACTGGCATCATAACTTCAACCATATACCACATACAGTCTTAAGAAATTAAAAGAAAAAGGCGATAATTCAAGAAAAATTGAAAACAGTTGTTCCAAAAAATTTATCGCGCATGAATCAAAAGCAATCGGACAATATTTGCGCAGCGACCACAAGAAATTTATCAAATAATTCGCTAAAGTGACCCGTATGACGAACTCAAGACATTCGGAAAGCTCAGTCACAAAAATAGTTTGCCTTTAAAGATGCTTATGCTCACTGTTGATCACAAAGAAGCTCATGTTTAGTCGAGCGACTAGACACCTCAAAGACAACTGGAAGACTCTATTTTCTGATGGCTTCCTTTCAGCTATTCAGCAATACTATAACACAATGGTACAAAGGTAAAGGGCCAGTACGAAGGATATCGAACTAAAATTTTTGTGTGGGTGATTTTGTACACAAGGAAAAACTTATATTTTTTGCTTCAGAGGAATCATGAATGCAAATTTTTATGTTGATATATCACCAAGTCACAATTAAGAGATCAATAGAGTGCTCAGAAACAATTGGCGTCTTCATTCAGAACCAGAACCGGAACATGCAAGCAGGATTTGTCAAACATTTCTGAGTGGAAATTTTCCTGACGTTATGGACTGACCTTCAATAGTCCAGACTTAAATCCAATTGAAAACTGTTGTGCAATTGTTAAAAGAAATGTAAAAATGCATATTCCTAAAGCAGTATATTATGGAGGGATGGGATAAAATTCCAAATGTTACAATAATTAACTTTATTAGTTCGACGAGAAGAAGATGTGCGAAATTAATGGCGAAAGAGTAAATTATTAATTTTTAATCAATTAAAACTTTAGATTTTATAGATTTTTAATCTTTATTTTGATATGTTTTTTATGCAATGGTTTTTGAATAATGAATAAATAAAAAATTCCAAAAATTTTTACACACTGTAAATAACAAACAGAAAATTAAATTCATAAGCGCACGGCTACTGATTCTATTGGAAATCAAGAGCAAGATTAAATCTTGACATTTGATTTTACTCTTCGAAGATAAAGTTTGCATTAAATTGAAATTTTGAAAAATTGTTATATATTTATGTTGTCTCTCATTTTTTCCAACTAAATAAATGATTTTAAAAAGAATTCACCTGGAATAACACAGCCGAAGTTTCACAAGTATTAAGGATCTTATACATTTTGTAATTACATGATATATTCATGTGAGGACATGTTCATCTTTTTTCCATTACATTTGTTACATTTATATTTCTGATAATCAAATATTGCAACATTAACAACCTATACTTCATTAACCAAAAAAATAAAATCAAAACGACATTTAAAATGATGGAGATCGACTTGATTATCCACTAACAATAAATAGTGATTGTAACTTGAACACTTATATACATCTTTAATATGATCTAATTATCTATTTATTTACTTAAAGTTGCTTCAATCCCTTTAAGCAAGAATCAATATAAAAATTTATGATCTAAAACGACTCGCGTTACATTTAATAAAAAACAGAGTTTTAAAGAGATTAATCTTTTATTTATAATAACCGATCCTGCTTCACCTTCCCTCCTCGCTCACAAACCAGAACAAATAAAGTTAGAATTTATTCATGTTGATACTTTTAGAAAGAAAAATTAGATCTTCAACAAGCAATTCGCTAATTCGTCTATCAAATCGTTAATAAAACATATAAAATTAAATATTTCCATAAATCTCAATTTCCTTACTAATTAAACTATAATATCTTCACAGAATCATAAAATTCAACTTATTGCTGCTGGTAAATTCGTTCCAACACTTTATTATGGCTCATTCACTGTAAACTGGTGGATTTTTGATAATTGAAAAACATCCAAAGGTGAAAAACAAGCATATATTCATATACTGTACGTTTAAATATGAGATTTCAATTGGAACTCTATGAGACAAAATTTATTGTTCGTGCTGTTAATGAAATAATAATACTAGACTAGTAATGAATTTGAAACTTTTTGGAATTTTATTAAGTTAGCCTATCAAATCTCGCTTTCCTCTATAATAAAGCCTTCTGAAATCTTATTCGATTACGGAATTTTAGGTTTTCAAAATAGGTTTTTTTTATGATCGCCCAAAATTTATTTAGCTCCAATTCATAGACGGATCGGCCATTAAGACTTGCGCAAAAATAGTTTGGCTTGTTTGTAATTAGGTCATTTAAAGTCGTAGCAGTTTAAGAAAAGTTGAGTGAATCTATTTGTTGATGGCAGCAACCAAAGAGCATAAATTTTACTGTTTGTGATTCGACCAGAATTGTTGTTACATAGATTAAGGTATTATTAAAGACCGGAAATCCGATATCTCTGCTATTTCTTTTCCAGTATTGACACACACTTCTAAGAATATCTGTATAATGGGATTCGACCATTTGAGAAAACATAGGAAACTATAAAAGCAATTTGAGTTAATACCAGTTCTACGTGTAACTTTTCATGTAGATCATTTTCGGCTTAGAAATAATATTGAGATTTTTTCCTAAAACAATAAGCAATTCCTTGAAATACATCTTTCTCTGAGATGCTGGACAAAAGCTTATTATACTAAAACAATTTTAATTTATATTATATATATAACAATTAATAAATTAATTAGTATGTGAAATCGAATTGAAATCTAAGATAACAAATTACAACTAAATATGGAGAAGTGTTTGGATACGAAGTCTCATTTGATTTTTTCATTTATTTTCACGTACAATAAGGTTCAAAGATATCACAAACATCTAGAAATAAATAATCAATCAAGAGGATCATCAGCATTGTATCACCAAAATTACTTTGTGGCGTTATATTCCTGACTTTATTGGTTCAATTGACGAAATAAAAGGTAACAGTAACTTTGTTTTAATTTGAGCAAAAAATAGGCCGTATGAGGGTTTATTGGAAATGTAGCCAAATAAATATGAATTAGAATTTTCATTTGTGTTAAAAGTAATTTATACATAACAATATCACATTTATCTAAAATTTGTTTATATTTATATTTATATATTTATATTTGCTGCAGTTATTTATATATAAAATGTTCAATGAAAAAATTACTATAATTTTTGTAATTTTTGAATAATATTCCTATTGTTATTATTAACACTACTAATACGACTACTAATACGACCACCACTATTATTATTGCTACTGCTACTGATACGACCATTAATACGACCACTATTATTACCACTACTATTATTAATTGTAATTTTTAAAAAGTATTTCTTTTTAGATTTTTTAAAATTTTCATTATCAATCTCACAAAGATCTTCTTCTCTAAAAGTTAAATTTTCATTATCAACATTGTTATAATCATCTTCATATTTCATTAAAGATCCCTTGAAATTTTCATTTTCATTATCATCTTCATTGTCAAATTCATTCATGAATTCATTCGCCCGAAATAATGATAAAAATGATGAACTATGAGATAATGACGAAGATGATGATGTTGATGCTGATCGAATGCTACTATAAATAATGAAAATCCAAAAACAAAATAATTTGAATCAATGCTATTGATATATTTTATTACGCAAATACAAAAACAAGTATAGTATAGGCTTACTTGTTATTAATGCTTAAAGGGATTATTAAACTATTAATATTATTATTGTAATAATCAGCCTCGCTATTATCGTCAATATAGAAGTCCATTTTTATATGTTTGTGTTGTATATCAAGTGTGTATATAAAGTTTGAAGGATAGGATTGAAAAAATATATTTTACAAATTTTTTTATAATTTATTATTGTTTATTATTATATTCCTGACCAGAGGAACTCTATGTAAATTTTTTTTAAAAGAAAACAGAAAAAAATTGTGCAAAATATATTTTTCAATATATTTGTTTTATAAAGGTTGTCGAGAGGAAAGGGGAAAATTGTTTTTTTTTTGGGATTTTAATTTTTGAAGGTGGAACAAACTATTTATATAAATTTTTTTATGGTTGAAAAACAAGAAAGTTGAAAAAAAACGAAAAATTGAGAACAAAGAACAATAATAACTATTATGTGCATCTAGAAATACATACAATGTACAAGTATTATTAACATCAATATGATGTCTTAAATCTTTTTCCGAGTTTTAGGTTTTGAAACGAAAAACAAAAAAATAAACCTAAGCTATATAAAAAACAGTTCTTTCTATTTTATTACTACATCACTGTAGTTTTTTTAGCACTCGGCAAAACCTTTATCAAAACGAAAAATATATTAATTTAACAATAAATTAAAAATGTACATACATGCATATCAAACTTAAAAGGTTCCCCTGCCTAGCATTTTATATCAATGAAAAATTGAATCTTTAATATGAACTATACCATTTTAGAATAACATTAAATTTAAATTATTACCAAAATTAGCATAATTTTAGTAAATCTTCGAAAAAATTCCTGTATATATATTAATGTTAATATTAATTCGTGACACTTGTTGCAAATAAAAAAATTCCTTGTAAAAATATATACTAAAATTAATATTAATTCGTGATACTTCAATTTTAGAATTGGCGCAAATACCAACTGTAAAGCAACTCACCTTTTAAAAATTGCAATTGTACTTGTAATACATGACATGTATCAATATACCAATTTTCAAAGAGGTTTCTTATAATGCATTTTACTTTTATATAGTGAGTGACCATTAACTATTATTGGCTTACAAAATGGTATCTGCCCCTCAGGGGCAACAAACAAGCCAAGAAACAATTCATCGCAGCCAGATTTTTATTTAAAGTTTATATCAAAGGTTTTATTATTTTCAAAATTTTGTCGTCTGTTATATAATATATTGTAAATAAATTTCTTAAAAATACTTTCGCATGATATTTTCCCTAAATTTTATTGGCCAAAACACTTGATCTGCTTGTATCACAATGATTTTTTAAATTTTATTGGCCAAGATTGTACACGTGTTAATTAATAGATTTTGAGCCTTGCCTGGATTCCTAAAAATCACTATATAAATTTTAATTGGTGAATGTTAATTAATGACCCGTGTGGGTACATTTCCAAAGAATTTACTTGGTTCTCACTAGAATACTGAGGATTCATATAAATGATCGACATCTACTTAATATAATTTATATTAACTCATTCATATAAGGAGTACCCATATACCAAGTATAAAAAGTGGCATTGTTAAATCTGCTGAGCCAAATTTTAACATTTGTTTATTCATTGATTGGTCGTATTAATAATCATGTGACAAATGATCATCGAAATTCGACAACACTATAATTTTACATTTTTGGATTGAATTATTGCGTTACATTCGTTACATTCGGATTACAATTAATCTGCAGTTATTTTACGTATCACGCACGGTTAAGAAGATTAGAATCTTAAAAAGAATCTTCATAAAAAGTCGAAATGTGACACAACATTTTATTAATATTAAGTAAGCGCACGACCACAATTTAGTAACATGGTACTTTTCTCTATTGTGTATATATTCCATCCAAGTCGCTTCATTCATGACAAAAAGATTATTCATATATAAAAATTTGAAGATTGCATAAATTTATAGTATAAAATATGATCAAATCGATATTTAACGCTGGATATCAGCTTTAGAAAGTGAGTTGTTCCCGTGATGCTGAGTTCACAAGCGAATTCTAAAGACCCAAAGTGCTTGGTGTTCAAAAATTATATGGGACGTCATCTGAGAAAATCTGTCAAAATTTTTTTTTTGTATTTTTGATACAATGATGCGGTTATATGTAATTTGAGGCAAGGAATCTTTTCAGCTTAGAAATATAGCCGTATTTACTTGATAAATTTTTGAAATATCATAAAAATTACAAATATAGAAATTACTAATAAAAAGTTTTGAAAACCCCTTTTTCTCAAAATGTCAAAAATAAAAATTTTCTCAGATGACGTCCCATATACTTGTCAAGAAAATAGTGATCTCATGTTCAAGCTAAATTACATTGCTATTTGTTAAATATTTCGGTTATATAGTCCAAGAACATTCATGATACAAAGTCAATGCGCTTGCTATTGTGCAAGTTAAAGCTTGTAACCTCTTGTTACTATTATATTCATGAACAAATGAAAGAAAATGACAACACTACTTGTAAGAAAATTATGCATTATATCACAATATGGCCTATTCGAGAAAAGAAATTTTGTGGTTCAAGTTAAGCTTCAGAACTTCCAACTCTCGCTCATTAAACGGATTGATATGAAGATTGAAATTTTTGGTTTCTAATTATTGATTCATATCCGTATTTAGTGGCATCACGGCAAAGGATTTATTTATACTAATAATGCGATTTTTTCCAATGGAATATTAATTAAAACAACAAACATTGCATCAATTTTTTGACTATTTCAGGCCATTCAATCGGCGCGCTAACCAAATCTGAAAAATCTATATACTGCAAAATAATTTCTAAAATTAGACTTGTATAATGTCGAATTTTCAGACTAAGTAATAGAGGAAATGTTCATTTTGTTACATCACAATAAAATTTTAGCCATGATCATCTTAAATATTAATTTTCACGTTACTTACTAACAATGTACTTGTTAAAGAACAAGAAAAAACGAGGATATTAAATAAAATTGACAATTTAAGCAACTCCATAGACACAAATTATTGAATTGACTATTTTGAGTTGACCATTGAATTTGATAACAACCAGCTATTGAGTTGACTAATGAATAAGCCCTAAACCGACTGGAATTTCATAACTAATTAATTATTAATTGAATCAAAATATTTTTACCAATTAAATGTGATTAATGTGTTGGACAACTGATAAATCAATTTGATTTTATAAAATAAACAAACAAATGAATTAATTGGATGAAAACAAATATATATTTTTTTTTAGAAAAGTGCTGGATACGTTTATTTGAACATTAATTAGCGCACTAGTAAATAAATAAATCTTTTGTGAGAGTTTCTAGTGATTGAAAGAAGTTACACGCGTTCAAAATATACAACAAATATAAACTAAACCTTCAAAATATGCATCATTATATATATATATATAAAGAAATGTACCATGTATATTATGATATGTTTATAATATTGGTTAGATTTGTTATTTGTTGGAAAAAAATATAAATTGAAAACATTTCCATTTTTTTCATTCTCAAACTTTTTTTTTCTTTTTATAAAAAATTTTTTTTTATAGAATAAAAAATACTCTTTAACCTTCATTTTTATCAAAAAAAAAACTAATTAATATGAATAGACAATTCAATAAAATTTTTGGTAAATCATCAAATAATAACAATAGCAATAGCAATAATAATAATAGTAGTAGTAATGGTGGTAATAATAACAATGAAGATTCATCGTCTTCTATAGTGGTAAGTCATATTAAATCCTTCTTTCCTTTATATCACCTAAAACCATTTAATTAACATACATACCATACATACATACATATATATATATATATATAAAAGGATCATCAAAATATGCAATCTAATTCGCATCATCGTCAACAGCTAAAAAATAAACAACCTCACATTTCAAAACAACCTCACCACCACCAACAACCAACACCTCTCATTCCTGACTTCGTATCTCAAGACGGTAGCAACGACAACAATAATGATAGAAATCCAAATTTATTATTGAGAAAAAGTAAATCAATAAAAGTAAATAGGGATAATCGTGGCGGCAATAGATCAAGGACAAATAATCTTATTAATAATTCTCATCATCGTAAATCAAAATCTTTAACCGGCCTACTTGAATCATTAAATGATTATAATACCAAGAATAATAATCGTAATAACAATTACAATAGCAAATTGTCATCTTCACCGCCTTCCAAAAATTCGGAGGCTCTTTTCATACGTGGTTTAGCTCTAGAAGCTGCTATGAATAATGCAAATAATAATAATTCTCGTCTAAAAAATCCTAATAAATTATCTATAAATAATAATAATAATTCAGATGTGTTGTCATTTGCAACTGCGTCAAATCTTTTGTTATCAAATTCCAACGACAATAACAATTTTGGTAATAAAAAAAATTTGAAATTCAATAATAAGTCACGATCCTCTCCTCCTCATTCTGCCTTATCATCATCACCAACTTCTCCAACATTTAAACCAGCTTCAAGATTATTATCAAGATCTGTCATAAAACCAATAGATAGAAATAGCGATAGCGATAGCGATGACGACGACGATGACGACGATGACGACGATAACGACAATGACGACGACGACGACGACGATGAAATAACTGATTCAAGTGATGAAGATAATATGAATAAAAATAACCAATTAAATAATAATAATAATAATGTTAAAAATAGTAACATTAAAAATATTAATATTAAAACTGTTAAATATGACGAAGCTTCTTCTTCAGATGGTGATTCAAGCCCATTAGCCACAATAAAATCTAATTTATTGAGTAATCAAAATTCATCAAACGATTCCTCTGATTCATCATCTACTGACAATTATGATTCTTCAGATGAAGAACAAAAACATGATAATCTCCTTAATAATAATAATAGCAATAACGAAGTAGAAGAAGATGATGATGATGATAGTGATATAGAAAGTCCGTTTGTGGCTACAAGAACTTTAATGAGAAATCCCAAATCTCCAACTGTAAAAATTCAAAATGATTATTTGTCACGTGAAAATAGAAATGGTTACGATAAAGTAGTACCAACTAATACTACCAGAGATTTTAAAAAAATAAATAATAATAATAAAAGTAGAAATAATAATAATAATAAAAACAACATTAATAGAGACTATAGAAATAATAATAGTAATAGTAAACGCAATGACCAACAAATAGATAGTGCATTTAATGAAAGAAGAAGAAGAAGAAGAAGCAATGACGAGAAAGAGTTGACTAAAAAAACCGGCGGAAATAGAGATAATGGTGGCCGAGATTGTTTCTCCGATGATAATAACAATGGAAGATTATACCCCGATCTTAATGTTGATTCGATTAGAAGAAGAAAAAAAAGAGAAGATCGTATGCTTAATAATAATAGTAGTAATAGTAATAGTACTAATGAAGATTTAAGGTTACGAGAATGTTTTTCAGATGATAATGGGAGGACTTCATCTAGATATAGAGATAATCGTTTAAAGTCGAATAAATCAAGCCATTTGGAAGGTGACAATCGGAGAATTAAAGAAAAAAACATTGAACAACAACACCACCAAAATCAGCAACAACAACAACAACAGCAACAACAACAACAACATGACAACCATCGAAGAAAGCCAATCAAGCCTCGTAGCAATGAAAAAGATCAAGGACATGATAAAATTACCTTAACGAAAGATAAAGAACATCATCAATCACAAAGACCGCAAACTACAAAAATTCGTGACAAACCTAACGAAGAAGCATCAAGCATCATCGTCAATAATAATAATAGTAATAATAATGTTGATAATGAAGAGCGCGGGCGTAAGTTATTAACAAATAAAGAGAATGAAGAAAAAAGTCATGATAAATCAAAAATTGGAGATGAACATACAAGAAAAAAATCTAAAGAACGATCTAAATCTAGAAATAGAGAGAAAAAATCTCTTATTGATAATATATTTACGCGTCGCGAAAAGGTAAGGACATAATAATAATCAACATTATAATAATAATTTGTTTTTTCAACAAAATCTCTTTAATTAATCAATTAAAAATTATTATTCAGATAAAACCCATTGAATCATCATCTACTGTAAAAGAATCTTCAAAAACTGGTGATATTAAGGTTCGTATTTATTTTATCAAAAATTATTTATATATATATTTATATTTATGTGTTTTTATGTTGTACGTATATAGTATACTGTTCAGATATATGTTGAAGAAGTGAGCCAATTCAAGGATATGCAGTTAACAAATGAGACTACTGCATTGGGCGTTCTTACTAAATTTCGAAGTGAAAATACAATCACAAACGCAGATGCATGGACATTATTTGAAATCAATAACGAATATGGACTAGGTGAGAAACAATTATTATTACGTCGGAAAGAGATATTAATAGTGTAAGAGAAATTTTCTAATGACAATGATGACAACTTTCTTTGTTTTTAGAACGTCCATTCAGAGATTGGGAAAGCGTTGCAAGAGTAATCCAATATTGGGAAGTCGAGAAATCCAATGCATTAGTTATAAAGAAATATGCACATAGAAATACATTGTCATTAAAGGTTGGTTGGTTTTGTTAATGATGATTTTTAATATTTTTTAATTCTAATATTTATTTATGATATATGTGTTATTTATCATTATGCTATGAATTATACAGGGATTTGCTGAATCAAGCTCTCCAACGAAACAGGGTTGGTTAAATTTAGAAGGTAAAAAAGGTAAATGGCAAAAAAGGTATTTCAATATTAGAGATGGTTCTATATATCACAGTAAAGATTTAAAGGTATTTATTGGATTCATTGATTTACTGATCGATTAATATCTGTTTAAAATTATTTAATCTAATATTTATATGTTGTCGTTTAGGGAACAAATGAAACATTCCTTTGTGCATTGACAAGTTTTGATGTGTACACAACATTACCAAAGTTTAATACAAAAGCTCCTACAAAATTCATATTTGTCATAAAGTCTCAGGATAAAATTACAATGTTTGAAAACCCTGAAGATGATTATATGCATGTATTATGTGCAAATAATTTGGAAGAAATGCAAGAATGGATTTTACGTATAAGAACTTCAAGGGTAAATATAAATTTATGAATGCGTGATTGTGTAATATACTATATACATTGTCGTATATTTATTTACGTTATTTTTTTAGAATTATCTTATGCGTGAAGAAAGTCCTGCAACGTTTTCTAGAGTAACTGAAAAAAAGATTAAACCAACGATTAATCTTGGTTTGCCTATAAGCAAGGCATTACCAGATACTATTTCCGAGGTTATTATTTTGTATTCATTTATTTATTTAATGATTTTTTTTTATTAGTGTATTAATGATCAATGGATTAATTAACAGACTACATCATTATTGAGTGAAATAACATTTGAATTGGCTTCTTTTTCTCTTGACACTGCCAACACTTCACAAATACCGCCATTGACTTCACCACAAGACACGAATTTATCTTCTAGTTCAATTTCAAATTCTATCAACGCTAATAATAATAACAATAATTTTACAACTTCTCCAGTTGAAGACTACAACAAAATATTGTCACCATTATCTCCATCATTATTATCATTATCATCTCCATCTGGCATAGGAGCGAATGATGGAATTAAGAAAAAAAAGTCATTTACTATATTAAAAGGTCTAACGTCGTCAGCAACAACAACAACATCACCATCGACTACCGCCTCCACAACAACTGCTGCTACTGCATCAGCGGTAACAGATGATATGTCAAGTCCATTTGCTAGTGGATCATTGTTAGATTATAATGAAAAAAACCCACCATTGAAACAAACAGAACCTGAAAATAAGTCGTTCTTCAAAGGATCATTATTGGCCACAAGTGATTCATTGTTTGACCAGGCCAAAGAAAGAGAAAAGGCCCGGCGTGTAGTCGGAGGAAGTGGTTATGTAAAAGATGCAATTTCTGGTACCACTTTGGTTAATATTGGTGATTCTTTACATTTCCAAAAAGGCTCTTTATTGAGTGGTAGAAAACATGATAATCCTGAGAATACTGTCTCATCACCATCAACAACAAATTTACAAGGAGGGCACCATTATATTCAACTTGAAGAAAATGTACGATTCAACAAAGGTTCTTTACTTGCAAAAGGAAAATAATTAATGTTTGAATCTATTATTTATTTATTCATTTTTAATATTCCTGGTGAATATTCATATCCATATTCATATCCATATCCATATTCATATTCATATCATATGAATGTATGTAAAATATAATGTCTGGTTTACATCTATATATATATTAATGTATAGTATTTTATATAAATAAAATTATTAGAATTTTAGAATTTAATTTGTGCTAAAATTGGTATAAAAAATTCCTAACTTGCGTAACTGATCGAATTCGAACTCCATTATTAAAGTAAATGAAATTGCTCCACTAATGAATACCTTTTCATATCGAAAATTATTCTCTGCATAAATCCATGGCTATTCAAAAAATGGTATTACTTTTTCGCTTAAATATCGCTTCAAAAGACTTGATAATGAGAATATGTAAAATACTCTAAATTTTCATACAGTCGCGTGGGTATTGGTTAATAAGTTTTAGTGTAACTCACAAAAACGATTTTATAAAATTTTAACGATCCGTGAAATTGTCAATAATACTACCATCAAACATGTGGTATTCTAAATCTTGTAGTTTTTGCATCATGAAATTTTTGCATTCAAAATTGACCAAGTTGACAAGATTATTATGGAAGAAATTTTTCAAGGAATATACATACCTCCCAAAAATAAGTCAAGTTAATGTTAAGGGGAGAGATATTTATAAGATACTGGAATGTACTGATAGTGATTATGACATGATTTTTGGACCAAAATGCTTTAATTTGCGATGATGACGGTTAGAGAAAAGGCTTGCCTGCAAATCCACTAGCAACTCATTTAATAACTCAACGAAAAAGGCGAGATGGAATATTTACTCCAGAACTAGCTTTATTGCTAGATGATAATAGAAATATAACTCTTGATGATTTGCGCTTTTTGTTGAAAGAACTATTGATATAAAGGAGGAAAAAAGGTGTAAAAAAGATGGTTGATAGATTGAACATCTAAAGTCATTTAGCTTCAAAGGCAATATATTACTTAACCTGAAAATCGCATGATACAAAAACTGCAATACAGAAAAGTAGTATCCAAAGATATAGATCGAATTTTTGAAAAGTAAACATATGCCGATTTTTTGATGGATTAGTATTTCAAGATATCACAATTTGGTAATACCTAAAAGTAACAATTATGCAAAAAGGATATCCAGAGCTAGCGTAGTTCGGTAATACGCAAAGGTAGAATAATATAAGGAAGAGTTAATATAAATTTTTGCTTTTACGTATTACAAGGTGGGAATACTATTTCGGCACTACATGCCTCAAACCTAGGCTATCGAATGCAACGCACAAAGCCAAAGACGAATCACCATTTCGGTACTACGCACCTCAACCCAGGCATTCGAATGCAAAATTACAAAGCAAAAGACGGATTACCATTTCAGCACTACGTTCTCCAATCCTCGAATTCGAATAAATCGTGAAAAGCGATTTTTAGTTTACAGATGGGGGAGCATATCTATTTATACCTTTTTGTTATGATTTATTAGACTACTCGATCAATGCATCGTTTGACCACGAAATAGTCTATTTTATGAAACATTACACATTGCACATTAGCAGGCTAAGATGTTTTGCATCCGGTCCGGGTATAGTCCTCACAATCGGCACATTGTGCCTCAGTTGTCCTCGAGTGGCGACATAAACATGAAACAATCGTCATTGGATGCCCAAACGATACGTTATGCTTCAGCCTGGCCCTCAAGTGACGAGACAAACGCAAACCGCACGTCACGCCATATTGCATTCTCAAAAGACGACGTAAACACGAATTAGTCGTCATTTGCCACCCAACGACACGTTGTGCCTCAACCTAGCTCTGAAGTGATGAGGCAAACGCATTTCGATCATTCTACATGAATAATAGGTTATAGTGTCCCATTTCTGACGACGCAAGCATAAAATTGTCGTCACTTTAATGATGACACAGACATATTCCCGTTGTACTTACCTAGTCTAGTTAAGTAGATACATAATCTAATAGATTAATGTAACAATCATTAATAGGGTCAATTAATTTAATGTTAGGGTCAATTTGTGAGTCAAGTTATTATATACATCAAAAAAGTTGGACAGACTTAATAGGATCAAATCTATTAGTAGTCAACAATTTATGATCAAGGAATGGCCATAAAAATTGTGTAAAATAAAGATTTGATTATTTCTAAATAGGTTTATTATTTGATTTATGGATGGTTGTGGATGAAATTTTTTATTAATTTGCAATTACCTTTTGGTTTTTTAAGGAAATTAATAATGATTTATATCAACAATTATGTATAAATAACGAATTATTGGTGAAACTGCAACAAAAAGCTGGTATATCTAATAATATTGAGTAATATTTTTGTTGAATCTTTCCTTGTGATTAATTAAGTCAAATCCCATGAAATATTTTTTAATATATTCGTGTTATTAAAATCATTTTACCTAATTAACTTCCTGCAAAATAATGTTCATCTTGATGAACATTATTATCACCATATTATTAACAGTTGCTGTATTTATTCCTCATCACAGTATATATATAAAAAAACAATCAAAAATTTATAGATTCTAGATTGAACCATTTTTTATATTCATTTTTCCTTCTATCTTTGCAACTTCTGAGCTATTGGAAGATTTTCTTTTTATCTCAGCAATTAATTTGAACATTTTGTCAGGGTAAATTTACCTAGAGACATATCTAGTGTCAGTAATATCATTGTAAAAATTAGAACCATTTACAGTGCCTTCACATCCTACTATTCCTATTCTTTTTGATGCCTTTCTACCAGTTTTCCTTTATTACATTATATCTTTCCTAATTGAATATTATATTTCTTTAAATCAATTCTAAGTCAACTTTTAAATTAGGATAATATTTTTGATATCAGTCAATCACTGATCTTTGAAGTCTGTTGTTCTAGTTGTATTACATTTGATAAGTCTGCATATGCTAATTAATTTTCTTGTAATGATTATAAAAATATGGTGAATCTATCTATTTCCATACCCCACCATGTTTTTAGATATATATAGTCATCCATTTATTGATTTATTTCATTATAATTACTTGATTTTCCACTTTAGACAATCTGTTCATGAATCAGAGAAATGTCAACCAATATAAAAATGTGGGGGGATTTCATATTAATTGCTAGCACTAGCTCAATGTAAATTATTTTTCTTAATGAATACAATAGTACTCGCCTCCAAGAGTTAAGCCTTTTATTTATCAATACAAGTAGTATTTCCATTCATTAATCCCCCATTTTGAATAATCAAATATCCAAAAAGAATATTAATATTCAAAATACATCAGATGACTTTTGGTATTGCAAGATCACAATCCAGGGTTAAGGTTATTAATCCTTTTTGACACATTTTTCATGTATAGATTCCTCAATCACTAGTGTAATCTAAAATTTATAAAATCTACATCAATTGCAAGGATATCTCCAAGCCAATTGAGAGTTTATTTAATTAAATGAAATAGAGAGATATTCTTAGGGTAACCTGTAACTAATACTGTCAGAGGTTTGGAATAGTATCTTGGGAAGGGAATTGAACAATTGTTTTTAGTATAATTATTGGACATGTGTAAGGCACAACATTGCAGCATTATTTCAAATATTATTTGGATTGCAAGGGTTTAACCAATTAATAAAATAATTAAATTAAAACACTATTTATGTAATATTTTATAAAAATTTGTATTGTCATTTATAAAACCTTAGTTGCTAATTTTTGAATGTGGTAGTGTTAAGTGTAATGAATACCTATTATTTGATGGTGGTGATGGTAAATCTGTGGTGAGTGATATATTCTGTGTTTTTATTAACAAAATCATTCGTTATCACATACAGTGCAGTGTGTCACAAAAAAAATGGCAAGGTAAAAATCAACAAATACATATTTTCTAGAACTTTATCAATTAAAAATAAAAAAAATTTGATTATTTTTGAAAAAAAAATTTTAATGTGATCATTGCTCTAAAGCCTATATAATAATATGCTTCAAAATTTTACACATAATTATACATGCAGCCCAAAGTATTTTGACACTGTCATAAAGGGGGTTACACGTGTAGTAAAGGGGTGTTACACTTATGTTTTTAATAGTGAATGCTGTAATTAATTTCTACTTTCTACCATCAAAATCACCAAACCAATTTGGGCTGCATGTATACACATAATGATCCAAGATCTTTTAATTCTCTGGCATAATTTTTATGAGATGATTTTGGATACTTTTTATTAAAAGCAATATTGCCATTTTTTTTGTGACACTGTATTATTGTTTTGATAATTTTTTTTATAAATATAATAATTCTATCAAATTTGTCAAGTTTTTTGTTGAAGAAGCTTCTGTTTTGCCTAGTTCACTAAATTCATACAAAGGAATATCAACCTTTAAACATTTCTTATAGTTAAAAAGGGTTTGTTTTGATGATCCAATATTTGTATCTCTGTTATTGTAGATTATTTAATATGTGTAAGTTATCATAATTCCTTTTTTTAAAAAAAAAAAAAATGCTTATATGCATCTTTCAAAACCTAGCTAGTCTTACCATGCTCAACATGTTTTTGGTGTTCAGATCTAGTTTTCCAAGGCCCATAGCTTATCTCAAAAAGAAAAATTCATAATGAAATTAGCTTCTAGAATTTTCTTTAGGTTGACACCTTTTCTATGTAGTCCTCCTTTTTAATTCCATTCAAGAAATTTTTTTTAGTCTTATCTGATGGGTTTGCATTTT